GAGATCATTGACCAACAATAAAAATAGTAGTGGACTTATGTTAGATCCCTGAGGCACTCCTAAGAATTGTATATATTGTATTGTATAATACGTTTCAAATTTGTGACGATGACTCTTAAAAATTCTTGAGGTTTGTAGAGGTTTTTCGCGGCCAACTGATCGAACTGTCATCATTTTGATATTTTCAGGACGAACCTTTGACTAAAACGGCAAACTACTCGGAATTCGCATTCCGTTACGCGCAATTGCTTGAAAAAAATTCGCTCTAACGATGAGAAAATAAGCACAAAGGCGAGACGCGTTTCATTAATTAATTGCAATTCCAACAGCGCGATTACATTGTTTCCGAACGTGTATACGCACTTTCGCAACGGCATTGAATAAGTGCAATTAACGCACTTTTCCCACAATCCAGCGGAGCGATACACGAAGATTATTTATTAATAAATCAAAATAACGTACTTGCGTAATTAGTTTGGCTTTAATATGTGAACAGAAGCTATCGGTTAATATAACGAAATCCGATGATGGCGAGGAGCCAAGCGTTTTCTTGGCACCGCGACGGCCACTTTTCCGAGAGGACTTTTACCATTTGTTTATACCAAAAGGCGCGACTTCGATCGCGTGCGATACAAAATTATTGAGTTTTTCCCAAAATCGAAAATGCGCTGCCAAATGTGATTTTCGAATTCTATTAATAAGGACTGAGTAACCGTTTCGAGATGAAAGGAACTCGCGCGCGGTTTTTCTTCCCGCGCCCCCACCGAAGGATAAGTATTTAAAATCCATAATTAATTACGAACGGAGTGACATATGTTTCTAACAAAGATACACGCATGGAGATAAAATTGCGAAACAAAAAGGCACTTATTTCTATTTTAAATGTAAAATACCTATGATGCACGCGTTTATATTTAACGCATACATATCGTAAATTTCAAACTAAAAACGGCGGAACTTATGATGTAACAAACGATCGTTTGTTTGTTTAATTAATTAATTTCATTAATTAGGCGGCGAAGAAGTGGAGGCGAAAGTGTGCGCTCAAATGTGTTTCAAATACTCGCAGATGAATGTACTGTTATCAGACTAACCTTAATGTTTTGACCTTTAAAGTGAGGTTAGGGCAACAAACACACACATAACACGTCATTTGGAATGTATTTGTTACAATTTTTTTTTACTACGCTTGGATTGCCTCGATATAATCTTAGATTAATTTGTACCGTCTCGGCAAAAACGCCAAGTGGAATTAATAATAGTCAATTAAAAATAGGCACGCGGTCGCCCTTGTTGTTGTGACACCAATGTTACAAAATTCGCTTCGAATGATACATACAGTGTAGAGCATGATACTACAAAGTTGTAGTATCATGAGTGTAGAGGATGGTGTAACTTAAGGATCAACTTAGGGGCCACTATTATATCCGGTGTGAAAATCGCAGTGTGCGTAATGTGCGAATCGTCCCTAAAGATATCGCCGAGGTGGCAAGAATTTCACTTCTGCGTGAGCAGAGAGATAGAAGGGAGGAAAGTTATTGGTTTACCTCAAAAAAAGTCTTAGCAATGTTTAGAACATTTTCGAAATATCGATGTTGTGGATCGTTGGGAAATGTTTGATTGCAGATGTATGGGAAATTATGTTTTTGAAAAAGAAAAGTGTTTAAGAAATTTTTGAAATGTTTCATGTTTTTAAAGTGTAAGAATTGTCGCATGTTGGAAAAATTCTGGAAATGTGTGACATCTATTGGTGATTTCAAAAGTTTACAGTGCGAATATCTCTCGGGCGGTATGTCGGTGGAGGATTACTTACAAAGAAAAGAACGTCTGGACGGAGGTCAAAACACTTTAATTTGATTTAATCGAATTGTGCGCTGTGAAGAAAATAAGTTATTTTAAAGATTAGCTGGAAGATTAGGTTAGTCCGGCCAACTTCATGGAGTCGCGGACCTATAATAGGAAATGAGTTATTTCAAAGCCATTGGCGCATTAACGTAACCGCGTTTTTACAGAAATATTTTTTTCTCATGGAATTTAGACGCTGTTTTACGCTATTGGTGTATAATTTTGTGCCGTGATAAATATAACTTCACTGCAAAAATTAAGACAATTTTTTAGTAAGGCACAACATTTTATTAGAACGGCGCACGGTAATTAGCATTAGCACTTAATTTCTTCAATAAAAAAAACATGTTCTTGACCATGCATAAGTACGCCACTGACCACAAATTGAAAGTATGTAGATTGGTAGTAAATTTATTTTAATTGCGGTTTTGAAGATATCCAGACAAAATGGTCACCCTGTATAATAATAAAATATCGGAAATATGAATAAAAATATGCACCCAAGATAGAGGAGGGGGAGCAATCGTAGCCTCGGAAAATTGAAGATCCCCGTATGAAATATCTTGAAAACTAGCGTGTCGGAAGAGGGCGCTCTCAAAGGGAAAATCTAGCAAATTCTAGTAAAAGCTTGTTTTTGAATTATGAAAGGAGGAATGATATAAATGGGTGTGTAAATATTAGAAAACAAGTTAAAAAGTAATCGTAAACGATTTACATAAAGCGCATTTCCACTTGCATTCATTTCCCATTTATAAGATGCAACTTCTGATAAAATCGTAAAAATCCGGCCACAAATATGAAAGATAGCGTTGCACATGGGCAATCCATTTTTGACGTGTTACTTCAATTTCAGTTTATGAGAAGAATTTCATTTCAATGCTTTTCTAAATAAGAAAGTTGGAACTGCGCATGCGCAAACCTAAATTTTAAAACTAATGTTAGATTTTCCTTTGTTCCAAGCGCCTAAGTATCAAATTTCACTTAAATGGTGCCATAGATAAAAAAGTTGGCACTGCGCATGCGCAAAAGAAAATTTTGAGACTGGCGCTCGATGATCCTTTATTCCAAGTGCCTATGTATCACATTTCATTTAAATTCTTCCATAAATAAAAAAGTTGGCACTGCGCATGCGCAAAACCAAATTTTGAAATTGGCGTTTGATTTTCCTTTATCCCAAGTGCCTATGTATCAAATTTCGTTTAAATTCTTCCATAAATAAAAAAGTTGGCACTGCGCATGCGCAAAACCAAATTTTGAAATTGGCGTTTGATTTTCCTTTATCCCAAGTGCCTATGTATCAAATTTCGTTTAAATTCTTCCATAAATAAAAAAGTTGGCACTGCGCATGCGCAAAACCAAATTTTGAAATTGGCGTTTGATTTTCCTTTATCCCAAGTGCCTATGTATCAAATTTCGTTTAAATTCTTCCATAAATAAAAAAGTTGGCACTGCGCATGCGCAAAACCAAATTTTGAAATTGGCGTTTGATTTTCCTTTATCCCAAGTGCCTATGTATCAAATTTCGTTTAAATTCTTCCATAAATAAAAAAGTTGGCACTGCGCATGCGCAAAACCAAATTTTGAAATTGGCGTTTGATTTTCCTTTATTCCAAGTGCCTATGTATCAAATTTCATTCAAATACTTTTATAAGTAAAAAAGTTTGCAATTCGGTTTATAAATGGTCGAGATGCGAAAAGGGCACTGTGAATTTTGAATCGATTCGATTCAACTTTTGGCATTGCGTATTATATGGCTAAAGCTATGCCCATATTGAATTTCATGCAATTCAGTTCATAACTAACGGAGATGTAAAAGCGATCGAACATTTCTAAACAAAGTTATCGTTCACACGGACAGATAGATGGACAGACAGACAAAGGAACAGACGGACAGACCAGCATGCAGACGACAGATAGCAATGCAAAATTATAAACGATCTCTAGGATCGTTAATAAACGGCAAAAGTGTAAAATTATAGAACATGTAAAAAAACGGTTTTTTGTTTTTTTTACAATAACTTTTTTTGTAAGCCGTACAGAAAAAATTCCTTCCTTGGTACAAGACTCGACACCATAACGAACCAAATAGCGAAAAAATAGAACAATAGCTCTTAAGATAAAGAACTAGTAGCGTCGCAAAACGAGCGGACGGACGGACAGCCGGACGGACGGACAAAGTGACCACAATAGCGCATTTTTTTTTATTTTTGTGGAAATGCGCTAAAAATAAATTAATATTTTTTTTTCAAAATTACGAATATAAAAACATAATAATTAATTTTTATTTTTTAAACATGTTAAACAATTAAATATTGATGAATTAGATTTGTGCAAGTCAATTTTTTTAGGCACTTAATATGATACCCTCTTATGCAGGAATTACATTTTAAACCACTCTGCTCTTGAGTAAAGTTAAATGTACAATTATAGCACATTCCTTTAAAACACAATTTTCATTTTCAATTAAGCCCATTTGTTTTAAAATATTTTGGTGACTGTCTTTAGGTGTTACGTTTACTGTTATATCCGATAATATTTTAATTTTAGGTGATTCGCTAAATAAACGTCTGGTCGATTTATTAATTTTTTCCACTTGTTGAATAGGTAGACTTGTAGGAGAAACCGTGGATGGAGATGGAGTCATCAGGGGCGGCTTCCTTTCTTCGCGTTTTCTGTCGAGAGTTGAGGTCTTTATTGGAGTCGAAACTCGTGCCATTGATGGAACACCTTCTTCTTTTACTTAGCTTCTTTTAAATTTTTTTTTGCGCAATCCTATTTTAATTTATTTTCTTCCCTTTTTTGTTTTCTAGCTTTTTTTTTCTGCTTCCTTTTGTTTTTTTTTTGTTTCTTCTCTGTCTGTTTTTTAATTTTTTTCCATTGTGTTGACGTCAAAACATATGGATCATGGTCCGTTTGTCGTTTCCCCTTTCTCGGAGGTGTAACGGGCCTGTTCAATATTAACACAAAACTACCCGTCTTGCATTAATTAAACGGTTCGGTTGTAGAAATAAAAGTCTTTATATAAAAATTGTTTCTGTCACGTCAAAAAACTTTATTCTCAATGCCATCTCATATACATTTTAAAATTAATCAATTCTAAGTGTCTCTGACATCCTCCCACCTGAGGCAAAATTTTAACAAAAATGTGTCTCATAAGAAATCAGAGATACCGTGAACAAACAATCAGAAAATAAAAGTTAACATAGAAAAGGAATTAATTTAAATCCTATAAAACTCTGAATATTTTGAAGGTGTTTTAATCTTCCGTCCACTCCGCGTAACGTAACGTATATCACTTTTGTACGTTTCGGGTACTCTGCTTTTTGACACTCCCGTTTTCGCGTCATCGTCCTCAATTACACTTTCAAAAACAGGCACTTCAATATTTTCACACTGACTTCGAGAAGAAATATCTGAGTCGTTATTCGTTCTATCCTCATTTAGAGTAAAATCGACGGCGCACTCCAGAGGGTACAAACGTTGTACAGGTCTCAGAAGTTGTCCCCTTTCGGTAATAACTCTCACAAGTCGCTTATTGCCATCCTTTCCTGGAAGAAGGGTTACCACTCGACCAAGCGGCCAGTTAACTCGCTTGTCTTTATCATTACCAACCAACACGATATCCCCCACTCTAACTTGTCGGTTACATCGCCCCTTGAACCATAATTTTAACTGCCCTAAGTACTCATTGCGGAATCTTCGTCGAAGATCAGCAACCAATTTTTGCCGATACACAACTTTCCTAGATAGAGTCTTTTGATCAACCTCATCACAGTCTGAAACTCCACTCTCTACTTGATCTCTAAGGAACATCATGGGCGTTAAAGGTACTAAATCTTTTGCATCATCAGAACAAATAAGTGGCCTTGAATTGATCACGGCTTCACAATCACACATTACTGTCATTAAACTTTCATAGTCTAGTGAAGAACGTCCCAACACTTTGCGTAATAACTGCTTTAAAACTCCCACAAGTCTTTCCCAAAAACCTCCCCACCACGCTGCCGTAGGTGGGTTGAATCGCCATTGAATACGTTCAATACCACTGCTCTCTGCGATTTCTTCAAAGTTTACTCGCGAAAAAGCATTTTCAGTGCCTACAAAATTAGTCCCATTGTCACTATATATAGTCTTCGGACGACCCCGTCGGGCAATAAACCGTCTTAAAGCCTGCATGAAACTAACCACCGATAATGCAGTACAAATTTCAAGATGTACAGCACGATATACGGCACACGTGAAGAGGCATACCCAAACCTTTTCTCCAGTTTTCAGATATAAAGGCCCCGCTAAGTCCACACCCGTTACTTCAAACGCGTTAGCATCCCGAACACGATCAACTGGCAAAGGAGGTGTCCTCACAACAAAAGGTTTGGCATTTTGTCTCCTGCACACTACACAACGTGAAATTGCTGATTTTATAGTTCGTCGTCCTCCTAGAATCCAATACCTTTGACGTAACTGACTCATAAGTCCCTGTGCTCCACTATGACATGATCTTAAATGCTCTTGGAATATAAGCTGATTGACCAAAAAATGCCTTGCTGGCAAAACTATGGGAAATAGAAAATTTTGACAATCGTTTCGGTTACTAATCCGTGACTTCAACCTAATTAGGTCGTTTTTGTCTTTATAAATGTCCATGCCACATAGTCTCTTATCGTTATTATTTGAAAAAGACTCCTTTTGCACAACTCGTAGGACAAATATTTCAGCTCGTTTAATTTCTTCAGAACTCAAGTTACCTTTGAGTCGATCTTTATTTCTTAAATTGTAAATGCATCGTAATATCCATGCACACATACGGAGGGTTTTTTGATAATGAGAAAAATAATCGAAATGCCAATCACTTGATGACATTTTTGGTTGCTCGTCATTAATCAGTGTCGTAACCAATTTTTTCTTCCTCTCTTGATTGATCTCCTGTTCATTGTAATCTAAATCTGATTGAGGATCAATAGATACGTCTTGATAAAGCCATTGTGGTCCCTCCCACCATTTTGACTCAAGTAACTGTTTGGCTGAACAACCTCGTGAAGGTAGGTCAGCAGGATTCAATTTACCGGGGACGTGGTGCCAATTTTCACTGCAAGACAATTTTCGTATTTCTGACACGCGGTTCCAGACAAATGTAGACCACTCTTCGGGTCTCCTCACCCATGACAATACGGTTGTCGAGTCACTCCAGAAAAAAGGTTCCATCTCCATGTATAAGCTTTCCTTGACGGTAGTATATAATCTAACACCAATTACTGCGGCCATCAACTCCAGACGAGGTATCGATAAATTTTTTAATGGAGCTACCCTTGACTTAGCCGCTAAGAGATGTACAAACACACATCCGTTCCGAATTCCTCTCAAAAATACTACAGCAGAGAAAGCTTCCTTGCTGGCATCGCAAAATGTATGAAGCGTCCAATGTTCTGCCTCCTCAGTACCAGCGTATATCCACCTAGGAATCTTTATGGCGTATAAATAAGAAAGTTCTTGTACCCAGATACGAAAACGAGTTTCCAGTTCATCGTCAACTTTATCGTCCCACCTCATTTGTTTTTTCCATGTTTTCTGTAACCACAACTTTGGGAGCAATGTAACTGGACAACTATAACCTATAGGATCAAACACCCTTTGTGCTTGTGACAGCATTAATCTTCTAGTTACCGGTTTGCTTAAGAGCGATTTGATGTCTTCGTCATCGTGGTTTATAGATAAAGTATCATTCAACTTGTCCCACTTTACCCCCAGAACCACCGCGTAAGCGTTAGAGGCATCCTCTTGGACTTGGTGAGTATACTCCCACCCTCTGAGGTCGAATTTGCCTTCCGTCATTATAATAATGGCTTCTTTGATAAAGGTTTCCAATTCTCTTTCATTAGAAACACTAGTAACGCAGTTATCTACGTAAAAGCTGTTTGATAATTTCTTAGCAGTTTCTTTGGCAAAAGCGTATTTCGAGTCATATTCCTTCACAAATTTTGACAGATGATATTCTAACGAAGCTCCCAACAAGAAAGGACTACTAGTAATTCCAAACACCACCCGTCTATGACGAAACACTTTGAGGTTGTTCTCCTTATCATACCATAAGAATCTAAGAAAATCTCTGTCCTCCGAATGTATACTGATCTGTAGAAAAGCTTTACTGATGTCAGAAATTACACCAAGTCTTTGCTGTCTAAACCTTAACAAAATAGCCGGAATTAGTTCAATTAAATTAACCCCCTTTTCTAGACATTGGTTTAATGAAGGGTTATCCTTTTCTCTGGCGGACGCATCGAAAACCGGTCGTATCTTTGTCGTTGTGCTGTTAGGTTTAATCACTGGCCGTAGATAATGGGCCGACTTGTTCACTTGATCCTCTAACACCTCTTCAATAATGTTGTCAGTTAGCCAGTCTTTAAATACTTGATCATACGCCTCGAAATAACCATCCTTAATGATTTTCTTCATTGTGTTATCCAATCTCCTCTTCGCCATGTAATAATTGCTAGGCAGCGCTGGATGTCCCTCTAACCATGGCAACCTGACTTCATAACGTCCATCTGTGTCAACAGAAATAGTCTCCAGAAAAAGTTCTTTTGCCGCTAATGCTGTTTCATCGCTAGTTTTCCTTTCTATTGGATCATTGATCCCTAGTACATCGAGCTCCCAGAGGTTAGTAATAGATGCATTATTGACAAAGAGAGAGAGAGAAGTCATAGAGAAAGTGTTAGGCTTTTCGATTGGTACTTTTCCCATTAAAGTCCACCCTAGTAGGGTCTCTACTGCTACCAGGCCACAGTTCAAAATATGTCTTTTCCCGGTGTAAAGTTTACCCGCGATATCAGATCCTATCAACAATTCTATGGGATTAGAATCACACGCGTCTAATATTTTAATATTTAATTTACGCAGCTCTTCCATCCAAGGACCATCAAATATAGAAGATACACTATTGCAAATAACATTCTGGTCTAGAGCCTCGAAGGTACAACTATAATTATCGTGATTTAATTTAACATCATAGCAATCATGATTTTGTGTTAGCTCACTTCCACCGAATAGACCATGAATGAGACTAATTTTTCTTTTTGACTGATATCCCAAAAGTTTGACTGTCGCTTTCAAAATATATGATTTCTGCGAACCAGTATCTATCAATGCACGCCCGTATCTCGTTTTACCAAAATGAGTCATTTTTACAAGCAGCGTCTGCAAAAAAACCTGGGTACCCGTATTTAAATTGTTCGCAAGCGTTTGATCTACTTTAGTTGACGTTTCATCTTTAATCTGCTTTCGCTCTAAATTTTCCGGTTTTGTCTTATTAATTGACAGCGCCGGACACATTAAAGGTACATGAGATTTACAACAGATTATACAACTCAAATGTCCTCGGCATTTCCTAGCTTGATGACCCAATTTTAAGCAACGAAAGCAGGCCCCTTTTTGAGCCAAAATCTCTCTTCTTTGCTCGTAGCTTAACTTTTGAGCCTTAAAGCAGTCGGTACTGTCGTGTGAATTTTGGCAAAAAAGACATTTGGATGTTATTTCTGAATTTATCAGATCCATCGCGGTAGGAAACTTTTCTACTATTGTGCGTGATTTTTGGCTAGGCCGTTTAACATCTCTCTTAGTCACACCACCTAAATCAAAACCTTCCACCGCTAAAGAAATATGCTGTTCATTATCAACTTCCTTTTTCAAAAATTCCATAAGATTTTTAAGTCGATTTTCTATAGTGGAAACACCATCCAAATGTACAGAAGCACCTACATCGGGTATACGCTGCCAAACTCTTAATAGTTCTGACGGTAAACACGACTCTACTAAGGGAAACAACATTGCAGCATATTTATCGGACTTTATACCAAGAGTTTCTAACGCGCGTAATTGAGCTTCTAGATTATCGTACAATAAAGAAAGATCTACTTTATTGTCCGAAGAAGTATTATTTATCACTAATTTTAGCAACTCCCGCACGTATACTTCTATCTGCAAATCGTCCCGCCCGAATCTCGAAATTAAACAGTCCACTATTTTAGCATAGTTGTCCCCAGTGGCAGGAAAACTATCAACTAATTGCCTTGCCCTGCTACCCACCAAAGTACTTTGCACCAGATATTCTACTTTGTCATTTAAATGTATATCAGTATCGTTGTGGACCTTTTGAAACTGTGACCAGAAGGGCAACCAATTTCTAATACTCCCGTCAAATTTCTTAAGCTCTAGAGTAGGTAACTTAAATTTGCGTCTACCTGATCTGCCTCCTACATTACTTTCCGAGGCTACGGAGTTTACCTCTTCACCTAGCTCTCCTCGCGGCTTCTGTAGAAAATCCTCGGCTTGTGCGTTCAAGTCAGTGAATTTCCTAATGTAAACTTCACTACCATCCATCTCTGCCAGCAATTCTGCTTCACTTCCATCACTTTCCAATAGAGACTGGTATATATCACTGTCAATTCTTCTTAGATCATCATATTTCTGTTTCAAAATACCCAGCGATACAGAGATTAAACGTGCCTTTCCTTCCGGCGCCGATAAAAAGTCTTCTAATTCTTTCGCCGATTTAGTGAAGGTGGTACGGAGTACTCTACGATGCCTTTTGGGTTGATCCATGATTGTCAATGTATACCTGAACAAATTTATCGCAGACAACAATCGAAAACAATTATTCCAGGGTGTCACGGTCGCCAAATGTTCAATATTAACACAAAACTACCCGTCTTGCATTAATTAAACGGTTCGGTTGTAGAAATAAAAGTCTTTATATAAAAATTGTTTCTGTCACGTCAAAAAACTTTATTCTCAATGCCATCTCATATACATTTTAAAATTAATCAATTCTAAGTGTCTCTGACAGGGCCAGTATAAATATTTTTTAATTGAAGATTGTTCTAATCCCACTGGATGTGCCTCTAGCTGGGTTTCGTTCTGATCAAATGTGGAAAATGGTTGTTCTTGTGATACTATAATAGGAATATCCTCAATATTTAAAATTTCACAATCATTTTCCATTGTAGATATATATGAACTCTCTTCTACTGTAATAGCATCAGCAAGGAAAAAATCATTAGAGCAATTTGGAGAATGTTGATGATTTTGATTCTAATTTGGTTTCGACTATTTCTGCTCCCGATTTTTCATCTTCGCTTAAACTTTTGGCCTCTTCTTTATTTGCAGTATCTACTTGATCTGGTTGGGCAACAAATTCTCTAAGTATTTTATGAAGCAACATATCTTCATGGGACGCCGTATCATCTAGAGCTGATATTATTTTTAGCTTATCGTCCCCTATTATACTAACAAACTTTTCATAAGTTAATATATTTCTGGCAAGTCCAATATTTACCTCATTACCAATGAGGTTATCATTTTCTTCTTTTGTATCTTTACCAATGCACTTCGTGAAGTCTATGGCATTTATGTTCCAAGGATAAATACCACAAGCCCTGAATCCATTGACAAGTCCGTTCGGGTTATGTGAGTTTTGGATTGATTTCTCCAAAATAGGAGCAAATTTTTCTTTTGTTAAAGAATCAGTGGGATTATCTCTTTTCCAGTCACTTACAGCGCGCTTCCATCCCGCTTTTATAGGTTGGAAAGCTGCTACATCAGCGGGTTGAAGTATGCGAGTAGCGTTGGGGTAAAGGCATATTAAAATTATTAGTTTTTTACATAAATCCTAAGTTTCAACGTTAGCTGGTGCGTGCTATGTCCATCGAGAAATAAAATAATAGGGAAAGTTATGTTTGATTTCAATAAGAATGGATACAGAACATTAGAAATGTATTCATAAAATGTTTCGCTGCGCATCCAACCAGTTTCTGTAGCCCCTATTCCCCACCCTTCCGGAACGGATTGAATTAAATAATTTGGTAATCTTTTATATGGATAGATTACCATTGGGGGAGTTAAAATTCCTGTGGCCGAAAACGTAAACATGACTGTCAAATTCGATTTGGAAGAAACATTTTCCACTTCGTAAACATTGGAGCTTCCCCTTGGGGCGAGTACTTTAGAATTTTTTGGACACAAGTAGAAATTAGTTTCATCTCCATTGAATACCCTGGATGGGTCTTGAAGAATACTAAAATGGCCTTTTTCCTTTAAATATTCCTCTATTTCATTGAACCATTTTTTCAAATCACTTGAACTAGCTTTTGTAACAAATTCAGCTGTTCGTGAGGCCAATTCTGGGTGTCTGTTAAGAAATGACTTATACCACCCGTTGCGTGGACAATTATCTATAAATGGGTTTGGCCTGGGTTTCATATCAAGGAAATGTTTCACAGAGTATAACACATCTGCCTTTCTTCTCGGAAATCCTTTTCTGTGGCATTCGAAAATCCATTCTACCAAAGTAGCTTCTTCGTCCTTGCTTAAAACTGGTGCGGGACCATGCCCGGTTTTTTTGAACTTCACACTTCTTCTAAATTTATTGTAATGTAGCGCGAGGTATTTGGAATTCTTTAGCCGCTTTTCTAATAGGCATACCATTATCAATGGCTAGAAATGGTTTAAATTTCCATTTAAGGGGACTAAAATGTGAAAAACGCGACAAGGGAGAAAAAGTGACAAGACACACTCAAATGTTAAACAAAATTTAATGATTAATCGTTACTTTCATATGTACTGGGTGGTCCAAATTGGACACTTTCTTATAGAAACACCCTTTATTTTAAGGAATACGAAAAAATGGACCTAGGTGTCTGGAGCCCAATTTTAAAGAGAAAATCACTGGAGCAAACAGAATTCAGCTATCACTAATCGTTTGGCTGCGATAGGGCGTTTCTCGAACTTAGTCGATTTCCTATTAAAATTAAAATAAATATGCATATAAACATCATGGAAATCATGAAACCAGTAGCTTTTCCCAGGTAATGTTTCCAGGGATAGTACAATGACATACTAACGCGTTTATTTCAAGGCCTCCTAAGAAAATTATGCATATAACGGTCACCATTTTAGAAAATCTTAAATAAAACTAAAACCATAACAGATAGGTATAGGGGATGTAATAATTGATCGATGAAGAATATTTTTGCATATTTGAAAGTGCAAAAAAATAAAACAATTCGAAAAAATCAATCAATCATGCTAATATTTTTTTTCGATAGATCATGAAAAACTATGTTGGTACGCAAATTTTCAGATTTAAATTATTAATGGAAGTCTAAATACTTTTAGGTAACGGTTTGCGTGAAATAGCCTGTATATCATAATAATAATAATACCTTTATTTGGTTACATATTGCACCCAAATTATCAACTCAGTATAAACAAAAATAATTACAAGTGAGTACATTGCGAGAGCAATAGTAACTAAAAGGACGAAGTTCAGCTAGTAGTTGCCTAAGCTCCTACTTCTGCTCTGCCACTTAATCCATTTTACATAAATATATATTTAAAGAACGAAAGACATTAAGCTTGACAGAATACCGATACAGAATTTAGCTACACTGAAAAAAAAGAAATGTTGTCGCAACTAACAATCAGTTACTCGAACTAATTTTTTTAGTAGCTATAGCCTCAACAAAAATATTTGCTGTAGAAAATCAACATAACTTGTTGGAAGTAAATTTTTTCCAGTAGCTAAAACAATTATTTGTGACAAATTATACAAATTAGTTAAGAAAGCATACCATTTTTGTTTGAAAAACTAAATAAGCTTGCAAAAAATTTGTCCCTGTAACAAGTAATGCTTAGTCGCAGCAGCATTGCGGTATTGTTATATAAACTAACGAGTATATGCTGGACCTCCTAATTTGTCCTTTTTTATCTTTGTTGTAGTAGCATACCATTTATGCTGGAGAAACTAATAAATTGTCTCAAATGATTAGTTGGATTAACTATGAATCCTAGTTGGCACAACAAATTTTCCGATCTGTCTGCATCGTCCGCGCGTTTTGGTGATGTCAATTAAATAAATCACTTTTTTTTTAAAATACACATTTTTTAAATCACTTACTGTTTACATAACTACACAAGAAAAACTTTTTTAGCATTAACATCCCCAAAAACAAAATATAAAACGCTTAAATTAAAACTTACCTACACTACATATAAACAGCTTTTACATATACAGCGTGTTTCGAAATTCGCGCACACGGACTGTGGGATGGTGTTATACAACGAAAACTGAATAAAAAGTTCCTCGACCACTTTCTGATCAGACCGGTACTTTTCGAGTTGTCGTTGTTCGAAAAATCTAAAAATGAAAATGCCAGAAAACAAAAGATAGTTCAAAACAATTTATGGATTAAAGTTTACACTTACCTTCAAACGCCAAAACTAGTTCGGGGAATCCCCATTGTTCCAATATATCACCTACACTTTGTTCAGCCATTGAAAAAACATTAAAACACTAAAAGTTCGTAATGTAAATAATGCAACAATATGCATGTAGCAATTCTAAATTTGTTACCACAAGGAAGTCATTTTTTTCAGTGTAGCGTGTGGTCGCAGTTATATAGCAATGAATCCAGAATAGATCGTGAACTAATGAATTAGTATTAGACGAATACATTTACATGAGAACTTCACTGTGTTTGCTGCAACATCAAACAATTTTTTCTTAATTCTCCACTAATCCTAGTAAATTATACGGCAGAATCACCTAATTCCAATTTGGTGAAGGGATAGTATAGGAGATATTTTATAAAGAGCACGGTATTGAAGATTCCATTTAAAACATTACCGGGAATCGTGCGCGGAAGCTTCACTTTGAAGTAAACAAAATGGGAAAATGGGAGTGTTTAGTAAATTTTAGCCATATCGCCTATCGAGATTATAAACTTTTAGATCAAATTGAGATTTTGAGGTAGTAAAATAGAACCTTTTACGAGCGAATAACATTCAATTCCTTGAAACATTAAACATTCTACATTTTCAATAGTACAAAGGTTAATGAGTGTTAGATAAACTTTGCTGCCCAAACCCGAAGATTTTGCATTGTATGTAGATAACGTACATTTTACCAATTTAAATGAATTTTCAAAAGCAGCGTAACGTTAAATTTATTGCACGCGATAACTTTGTTACGTAATGTTGCTTCGTTCGAGAATAGTACTGCATAATTGTTTCAATTCACACATTGCGTAACAGCTCTGTGAACGAATCGATTATACGTTAATTGCGTATCGGGTCGAGAAAATGTGTATTGCCAGACCCTTTTGAGAGTCATTTTATCGAGTTACGACTTTTATTAAATACATATCTCTATGATGTTCACTTTAAAAAAATCAATGCAATGGAATCTGCAAAAATAACAAATTAATAAATCTGCACCTGTAAAATTAAATATTTGCACTTTATTCTCATTTAATCGATTCAAAGTAAATAATCCAGTCAATTGGTAGAAAATAGGGGAAAGTTTTGAGATTTAGTTTGTATATGTTATTTGGTTTGCTTTAATTCAATAAAATTATTATTTTTGGTTTTTATAAAATAACTGGAGAATTATACATTTTTGGTAAATATTAGTCATATATGAAATATATATTATATATATATATAAGGACGCCGGGTTTTCAATGTCGTCTACAGTTTAATAAAATTAGATTAAAACATTGTTACCTTACAGCCACAACTTTTTTGGCAAGTTGTAGTGCACTTGCACGAGACAAGCTTCAATAAATCTTGGGGAGCAGATCAGAGTAGTATCAAGACTGGTAAGTGATTTTTATCGGTCAATAGGACGAAATTGTGTTGAATTTTAACGAGCTTTATTCAATTTTGAGTATAGAGAGCGCTGACGATTCGCCCACGCAGAATCAGCGATTGAGAATCAATCTGACAGCTAAACCTTAATAATGAAAAATTTATGCTCTTTCATCATAAACAATATCTACGAAAAGT